GACACAGGCCTATCATCTGGTAGGCATTTGGGGTAGCCAGGTTAAATTCCAGGGGGTGGGGTTGTTCTAAAGATTATACTTTGTGCTAGTGTGCGGAATTTCTGTGTGGGTGTCAGGTTGTTGCACAGACACATGGTTAACATCTGCTATGCACTGGGGTAGCCTGGTTAAATGCCAGGAGGGTGGGGTTGTTGTAAAGTTTGATGAGTTTTCGCACTCTTGTGCAGTTTGTTTGTGCTGTTTGCATGCAAGCAATGACCCACTCTGTTGATAATATTTCTAGTCAGCAAGCAGTTAACGTGGTGGTTGCAGGACTTGCTTTTTTTGAGCAGTGTTGGCTTAGATTGTTTTTGGGAGACCAGCTTCAATGACTGAAATGGGGTGAACCGTGCAAACCGCTTTGCAGTCGGTGACGCCAACACTAAAAATTGTCCCTTAATATGCCTTATTTTCCAGACTAATGGGGAAAGCTTCACTTTTGTTACCTTCAAGACAGACGATTCTATCAAATGGAAGCTCATGTATTGAATAATTTATTTTTGAGGGGAGATTTTACTTTTCAAGTAACAAGGGGCATTAAATTACCAATCAGTGCGAGAGACTGACATTCTGTACTTCGCCATTCCCTTCTATAACTTTTCTAATGGTCCGTTCCTTATCGCATTTGCCTACGTTCTTTTTTCGTAATCAATATCCAGGATACCACAGGTCAACAAGCGATCATTCGGAGACAATTTTTCAAACATTAATAATTTCCTTTTCTTTTTACCTGCTTCGCGGTACTGGATCACGTCAAGCTCGCACGCATGGGGAGAACTAGCAAATATAAGAAAACTAATCAGTCAGGTTTTTCGTAGCTTTATTCAGCGTGACAATTGCTAGAAAAGCAAATTCATCCAATATCCAGGTCCGACCACGTTTAACTACGTTTCGTTCAATGATCTGATCTCTATAGTCAGGAGGCAGCTCGCCAAACTTTTTGAGTAGAAGCAGGCAACATAGCTTAAAATCTTTGTCTTGCCATCCTGATTAAGAATTGTGCTGTTGCCCACTCCAAATGTTATGATATCTGTCATTAAGCGGGTTTTTTGTCTAGGCCCTCGCTGCAGCATGAAAACGAGGCTGAACTGTAACATTTATATAAGCTCAATTAAAGTGCACAATACGATGGGGAAATAGCTGAATCTTTCTTGACGTTTAGAGCTCGATAGACAGTAGTGTGGTAGATAAAGTGCGTCACGTGATCAGTTATGAAGAATCACGTGACTTTCCAATAAAATCGATTTTAAAGCATAAAAGACGCTCTATTCACACTTTTCTTTAATATAGTTTTCAACTTACTAACGTTTCTCATTTCGATTTACACATCCAACAATAAAAACACAAAAATTCAATAGGTGATCAGCTATGATGGGTCACGTGATGTAATGAAATCATTCTATTTTCAGTCATTCTATAGCGTTTCCAACCTATGTAACACTTACCATGAGTTAGGATTTTTCATGCAAAAAGACTGAACTTTCTTCTACTCGACCGCACGGTTTAAGCCAGAAATACAAGCTTATAAACCATAAGCAAAGTATCTCAGTGCTACACAAGACCACCATGTGACTTCCACCTTATCAAAGTTATAGATCATGCTTCATTCGCCTCTGCTGCAGTGTTCCTGTTGTTTCTGCACCTGTCGCCACATTTACATGCCTTGGAACAGCAAAGAGACAATTGAACGCAAGTGTAGCGTCGGTTTACACAGTATCCCCCTTCTTGGGAGCACCCACAGTGTGCTAACTGTAAACACTTCTTCTCGTGTCATTAACTTTGGCTTCAGAAGGCCTTCACTGTAGTACCATCCGCTGTCTTCAGGCTTTGGGAGAGAAGGACATGGTTTCCAGCGCCTTATTCCACACCTTGGTCTGATAGTTTGCCTGCTTTATGAGGAGAATCAGTGCATCTTGAGTCGGAGGTAGGGCGTCAAGTTCTTTCTTGGATTTGCGAAACGCTCCTACTCTTTCTTGGTTGATTTCCACCTCTTGTGTTCCAGGATTGTAGAGTTTGCATACAAAGGCTTCAGCTTTGGCAAGAACGTCAGCACTGATTTGGCTTTCTTCTCCAAGGTGTTCCAAGAGGTCAGGTGCATCTTCGAAGACTTTCCTTGCCGATGCCTTGCCCACACCATAGAACTGGCTTGTCGTATCACAGCCAGTAATGGCATGAAATGCCAGAAGCGACTTCCTCTTCTCCTCGGAGAGCGTGATTCTGTGAACTGGTATGTAACGCCTTTGTCTTGATGTACTCGCAAACATCCATATCTCTTGACAAAGCTGCTCTCAGTGTGCCAAAAGGAGGACAAGAACGTCCGTATCACGACACAAATGTTGACTTGCTTGTACCCTCTTGCTGCTGCGTCTCGGGCATGCAGTGCTATTCTAGTATCTGCCTGCTCATGATCTGATGCGAGCTCTCTTATATCTTGTCGTGATGTGTCAGATGACCACACCTTCAGTGTCTCCTTGAAGCCTCCATTGATCACGAGCTCTCGCCCAGAAGGCGCGCTGTAACTCTCCGAGATTTCAGTCGAGAGGAAATGAGCTAGGCTAGCCTTGTTATCATCTAGAATGATGAACCTTTCCCAGTTTCCAATTCTCTGATCTCTGTTATCCACATTGCGCCTAATCCCTGGCCTGTGCTCTTTTTCTCCTTGCGCTTGTCTCTGGTTCCTCCTTTTATCGAGTTCTTGAGGCGAATGTATGAATTCAGTCTTTTTTTAAATTGAGAAAAATAATTAAAACAATCTATTTTTATATTAATTTTGAAAATACATAGTTCAAAATAAAACTTTTTGAAGCACATATTTACCCCATGAAACATAGTTTCTTTTTATTTCTTAGAGAAAATAATTCCTGAAGAGCTTACTGAAACAATTAACCAATCACGCTATTCACACAGCTAAGGCTAATTCATTATCTGTTCAATGGTTGTTATCTAGTCACGTGACCCATCATAGCTGATCACCTATTGAATTTTTGTGTTTTTATTGTTGGATGTGTAAATCGAAATGAGAAACGTTAGTAAGTTGAAAACTATATGAAAGGAAAGTTTGAATAGAGCGTCTTTTATGCTTTAAAATCGATTTTATTGGAAAGTCACGTGACTCTTCATAACTGATCACGTGACGCATTTTATCTCCCACACTACTGTCTGTCGAGCTCTAAACGTCAAGTAGCAAAGATTTAGCTATTTCCCCATCGTATTGTGCACTTTTTATTGGATTTATATAAATGTTACAGTTCAGCCTCGTTTTCATGCTGCAGGAGCGAGGGCCTGGACAAGAAACCCGCTTAATGACAGATATCATAACATTTGGAGTGGACAACAGCACCATTCTTAATCAGGATGGCAAGATGAAGATTTTAAGCCATGTTGCCTAAGGATTGTGGTTACTTTAAAAGAACATGATTGTACACTTAGTGCTGTTAGATTTCAGTATGAAAGAAAACGAAATTGGGTATTTTCTCAAAGTAAAACAACGGGGTTGTAGTAAATAAGGCTGAATGTTGTCCCACTCGTAAATTGGGGGGAAGTATAAGAAAATACAAAAAAGAAATAACCAATATAAATGAAATGACTTAATAAGTACCCTCGATATTTTTCGTGCGGCACCCAACTATTTGCGTTAGTGATTAACCTGCAAACGTTTTTAATATTTTATTTTTTGACTTTTTAGCGCACATATTTTGTACATGTGGTACTTGTTGGCAAAACATTAATAACAAAACAAGAAAAGAAAAAAGAAAGAAATTGATAGATACTGAGTATAAAGTAGGACTATGAGGTCGTTAATAACTTCCGCCTCAGTAGTACCTCGACTAAGTCATTTTCGGTTTTGCCGTTTACAAATTAAACACCCGTTTACTCAAACTCGTCTTTTAAAGTCCTCATTTTTAGGTCTAAGAAATGGTAACTTATTAAATCAATTGAGGACAGCACCAGAGGTCAATATCAAAGTAGCATTTTCTAAGGTAAAGAAGGAAATTATAGCTGATTACAGTATTCCTCGACAAAAAAAGAATAGCCTTTTGAAAATTTATTATTTTGGTTATGCTAATATTCGAAATAAAGTTTTCAGTTCTCGCCTACTAACCTCGTAGTTCAGCAGCATTGGTAAGACAAACATCACGTAGACTCCAAGCTAAAAGAGTCAAAAAAAAGTTAACAGTCATTCAGTTAGTCAGGCAATGCTGAGTAACAAGTACGAGGTAAGAAAAGCTCATAAGTGAATTTAGTTGAAATCAGGCTTAACAAACAAAACATATTCGACTTGCATATTCAGCTACACTGTCTCTTTTAGCTAAAAAAAATCACCTCACCACGTTTTGATAAAAAGATCGGAACAATGGCTCCAAGACTGCGTTTGATTATCCTTGCCCTTTTTCTTGTGATGCTGGATGATTCTCAAGGGTGGAAGCAGTCGCGCACACAAACTCCTCCAATTTGTTCGTTAAGAGATTGGGCATTGACTTCCTGGTCACGGTGGATTGATTGCACTTTTTCGTGCGGTAAAATGGCAAGGCAATGGCGCCAACGCCGAGCGTTTAAACTGACCAATTTCTTTGGATTTTCCCCATATCTATATCGTTTGGACGTTCTTGTGCAGATCAGGAGTTGCAATCAGCGGTGCTATAACGGTGGGACTCTGAAAGATATTTGGTGTAGTTGCAAACAAGGTTTCAGTGGAAGATGCTGTGAGAAAGGTGAGCAATATTGCTCTTATCTACTGAAACACCAATTATTGTGAACAATTTCAATAAAGCATATAGCGTAGACTATAGAAACGCACTTATATTCTTAAATTAACCCACCAAGAAAAAAATCTGTGGGTCCAGTGATTTCTTAAACCGCGGCCTAAGTTATAGACTTCGTTTCAATAACCGACCCAAAAAATAAATAATCCAATTAATTTTGTGCGATAATCAGAATACTCTTTGCGAAGTCATACCAGGGGTTTTGTCAGAAGGGCCTTGACTAGGTTCTCAGAACCTTAAATGAAACCTAACTCATACAGCATTCGTTTTATAAATGATTTATGTCTATTAACTTTGAATCATTCATTCTTTAACTGAAGTTTTCATTTCGTTTGCTTGCTCATACATTAATCTTTGTGTTTCGTCGTTATTCGTTGATCTTTTTATATATAGTCAATGGAGGTTGGTCGAGTTGGAGTTCATGGGGGACTTTCAGTAAAAACTGTGGAAAAGGCGAACAAAACCGTACACGAAGCTGCATAAATCCAACGCCTAGCAATGGTGGACTACCTTGTGCTGGACCATCTAAGCAATCTCAAGCGTGCGACTTACACCAGTGTCCGGGTAAGCGGTCATGTTATTACAAACTATTGCAAAGTACTTGTGATGTCCAGTGTTTTCCCACAGTTTGCTGTTAGGGACTTTAAGATCCAACGACGCGGACGGCAACGGGAACGTCAAAAAAAACAAAAACAAAAAAAAAAGGTTTAATAAGGAAAACAACAACTTCGCACGTGCATCACACTTTTCTGTACATTTCTTTCCCTGCCTCGTACCCAGACGTCTCTCTTTCGATGAAAATGTGCGCGCAAAGGAAAGCGGGAAGGAGACAACGGGCAAGACGCGCTTCGCCTGCCGTCTGTACCCTTCCCATGGTTCCTTGCGGTTCATCACCAGTCACTCGCGTTTCGCGCTCGCCTCTGCCATGCGAAAAACGAAGCGCCTGAGGAGGAGGCTGTTTCTTTGCCGCTGTTGCACGACTACGACGCGAAAAAGCCCAGTTTCGCGCTTTATGGAGGACGTAAACAAGCAACGACGAAATTTTATTTCTCTTTCTGAGCTTGGATATCAGTTACTCGAAATTCAGCTTCAGGAGAGTTTGACATTCAGTTTGACAAAGTAAGTGGATAGGAATAATCGCTCTTAAGACAGAAAGAACGCAAATTCACTTTTTAAGCGACATGACTCCCTGTTATGTCTTATGGGTCATCAGTACCAATCGAAGTCGATCCACTCGTACCCCTTTGAATTTACTAAAGGGGACTGAAGTAGTGTAATTCAATCCAGGGGTGACTTAAATTTAGTACATGGATGCCCGAAGAAAGAAGAGAAAAGGAAACCCTTTAACTCATAACAATTCAAATTCGTTACAAGTACTTTTAAATCAATCTCTTGATCCTGAAAGATTAATTTGGGTCCTCTCCTACTCGTTCTTGTGGATTGATTGATTTCTTTGATTTTGCCTTTTTCCTTTAGTGAATGGTGGGTGGTCAAGTTGGAGTAGCTGGACTTCCTGTAATCAGAGTTGTGGAATTGGTTCGCAGGAACGTTCTCGAAACTGTACACGACCATCCCCAAGTTATGGTGGAAAACCTTGTCAGGGAGCTAAGAGGGAAAAACAAATGTGCAACAAGCAGTCATGCCCTGGTAACAATGCATTACAACGAATACCTCGTATACTTGATAGCCTGATATAATTGTTATTTTTGACAACTTTGGGCCGTTTTTAATTTTGTTAGCTTTTGTTGCTTGTCCTTCACAGATAAAAGATCTTTTTTTCGAAGTTTTTAATTTTAGTTATTTCATGATTCACACGTTTTGTTTTGTTATTCAACAACCTTTATTAAACGTACAACTCTCTTGAATATTCAACAAACTGAAAGTCCGAGGAGGGCTTGATAACGTAGCAGGAAAGAGCGGGGTTGCAGAGTTGAATTCATAACTATTAATTAGTAATTTATCTTTATATATCCCTCAAACGAGGGATTTTACACAGATAAATCCCTCGACTGAGGGATTTTATACAAGCAAACCCAAATCGAAAAAAGTAATGGAAGTTAATTCTCAAAAAAGTTCTAGTTGCAATTAATTGCAATTCAACCCTGCTGTTTCTGAAGACTTAAAATTCTGGCCTTCACTAGCGCAATTTAACTTAATTTCCAACAAAGCTGTAAACAATAAATGACAGTCACAGTTCTTTTGAAATCTCAATCTTACTTGAAGTATCTGGGCGTTGATAATTTTTGCAATGGCCTAACATCTCTATGCTCGGTACGCTCCATTATAAATTTATCTGGAATTCCTTTCTGCAGTCCCCGGGACGTTGTCGCACGCGGGCTATGGTTTGTGAATCGACCTTCAATTCCAGCGTCTTTGCATAACCTTTTAACCGATTCCCCCAGCATGTTGTGGTCTACTCTGTCTACTGGACAATTTCCATACCAAACAGCAAAATGTATAAAAATGTGACCCTTTTCTTATAACCTAACGCATATAATCTGAGGTCAATTTTAAAAAACTTGTACAAGTGTAATTTATACAAGTGTACATGTTGCTATTGTTTTGGGACCCTAAAACAATAAGCACACTCGTAAATTACACTTGTAAAAGTTTTATTAAATTGACCCCTGCTGTTTCCTTTAAAACTTACCATCATCAGAATACTTGAATCGACGTCTAGGAGTTAAATAAAACGAACTGAACTCCATGATAACACGAAAGCATGGACCGGCCAACTGAATAATCGAACACGCCGATAAGATGGTCAAAACAACTGAACAAAGAAACCAAAAAATACAAAGCAAACTCTCTTGAGGACAACACAAAACGTTTCTCAAAACCTTGTCAAAATCTCACAACTTTGTAACTTCCATGGTTTTTTTTAATTCGATGAAGGTGTGAGCGTGCACGTGGCTAGTGCTTTGTTCTCTTGAACAAAAAGTCTTAATTATTGAATGATGGTAAAACATAGCCTCCCCCGCAGGCGTTTTTAGGAGAGATCGTATTTGTTCGCGATCCCTAAAGGAATACGATCTCCCCTAAAAACGCCTGCGGGGGAGGCTAAGTAAAGCAGGGACAGAAAATTCGGTTCAATTTTTATAACAACAAGACAGACACATGTGTTTTCCATTTTACGGAGATCTATCAGGAATAATATCATGAAACAGGTCAGATAAATACCTCGAACGTCGGTATTAATACCTCCGTTCTTGGTGTTTATCTCTTACATATGCTGTTCATGCCCGCACAGAGATAATTAATCAAGCGTGCAAGCATCTACGTTGTAGCTTTACAACGAAGAACTTTACTATATTCTTTCATCTTTTTTATAACTTACTTGGAGTAGAAATTGCGCTTTGAGCAGAATACCCCCCCCCCTCCTCCTCCCCAAAAGAGAATAGTCTTCGTGTGACATCTTCTCTCTCTCGTAGTCGTCGTCGTGAAAGAGGACATCGATTGTAAGCTTAGGAATTGGAATAAGTCTGAGTTTGGAGCACTACTTCCTGTTCCTTTAATCAAATTGCATCGGTTGCATGGGGAGAGAGAAGAGCAAGCTAGTTGGAAATAAAAAGTGTACAAGTTCATGTTCCAAGATATTGTCACTTTTAATTGCAGCCATAACAAGGTCTTTTAAGGTGGCTCGACCCAGTATTTTTAAAGGCACACCCTCCATCTTTGAATCTATTATACTTAAACAAATCGATCTGTATCGTAACAAAATTATGATACATGGATAACACTTAGAATAAATTTATTATGGTATAGTTTTTTGGGCGATCGGAATAAATGTTGCGTGGTAATGACGTCACAATGGTTTTAGCTCTAAATCGAATTTCAGCCCTGTTCGGCATTTTCTTTTGAAATGTTTCACGCTACTCATTCTGTTCTGCGAAGTTTCACAAAATCTATGAGGGGAATTTCGAGATATCTTGGAATTTCTATAAAAAGGTATAAATTATGCATGCACTGAAGACTGGACTTAATGCAGATAAATTTGCCACTTCATTGGATGTTTACGAAAAGGTTTTATTACTCTTTCGTTTTGCAAATGATCCTTAGACACGATAGAAGCCACTAAACGCAAGTAGACTTGCGCGATTTCGAAACACATGGAAAGATATGATATAAAACGCAATACTGAACTCTTTTTGTAATTTCTAAGGCTACATCATATCCAACCTCGATCTGCAAAATTCTTCTCGTCACACTCAGTAGCCTCATTCAATAATTGAAATAGTTGGAGACTAATCTTCTTTTTATGCTTTCTTTTTAAGGTATTTCATAAAGATGCAGATCCAAGTCGACCACAGAAACAGAAAGGAGGGGTCAGAAAAACAAGAGTACACAATAAAAATTATTAAAGAGTTTTGCATTTAAGCTTTAAAAGGAAATAAATTTTATAAAAAAAAGTTTTGTGGCTCCATGTGATCAGGGTGCGATGAAATTTTCATGGGAGAAGTTGCAAAGGAGTAAAACTTTGGTTTAACATCAACGACATTTTTCTCCATGCTATTTAGTTTTGGGAGAGATCCGATAGGTGGGGCATGAAAAAAATATTGGACTAATTATAAGCATTTTCAGATTTATTCACAGAATACCAATTTTAGCAAAATCACAGGTTTGCACAAAATGTCTTATTTTAATCTTCGGAACATTGAATCAATTCAACAGCACTAATGGATTCTGTATAGTTTTCTTTTACAAAATCAGACGGTGTGCGTCACGAGATTCGACCAATGCGTTATTTGTAAAGTGATTTTTGCGCTTGGAAAGAGCCGTTTTCAGAGGTATTTGTGATGAAATTTTCGCTTTATTTCAAGCTTGTGTAGGTAATTTCGACACTATACCGCCCTGGAAAGTTGTTGGAACACTTTATCTTGCTAGCAGTAGCGTTACTTTTAAAGATTTTGCTTTATTGAGCGTTTGTGACGAGTTTGAATTGCTCGCGGTCATGTGCAAGCCGCCATCAGACGGTTTGACTGTAATTTTCGCCGTTCTTCTTGGATTCATTCCTGGTTACTGGTAGCGATTTTATCGGATTATTTCGGTCAAGTTGTTACTTCAACCTTCCTTCTTTGTAAATTTCGAGGTCTACCCGGGTCTACCCCTGATAGTTTCCCAGTTATGAGGCGTTGAAAGTGTCTTGGAATGAAGAGATTGTCTCAGCTACGTAGCACAACTCCCGGGAAACGGGCTGAGAAACTTGCTTAAACGAAAGCCGACTGAAGTGGGTAACGCAAAATCCAAGAAGATTTTGTTTCATTTAAAGCCAGAAAAGGTAAATAAGTTTGAATATTATGATAACCTTTAGAAACAAAACATTTTTGATAACCCAGTGCGGAAACTGAAAGCGTGTCTTTAAAATAATTTGCATGCACTGTGTGCTATTTGTATGCAAATCTTCATGTAAACTTACGCGAGGGGATAAACCTCCACCAAAACACAATATTATCGAAGATCTAGACAACATCATACAGGATTTTAAAACTGTGAGGTTAGGTTTATAACAAAATCGATACAATGCGCTCACTTCAGACATGATGGCGGCTTGTTTCTGAGGCCGTAGCTTCGGTGAAATTCCCATTGTGCTGTAGCTGAGCGGGCGCTACTTTTGGTCTGTTTTCCCCTTGCCTATAGAAGATTTATTTGCTCATAAGGATTACAAACAGTCACTGTTTGCAAAATAATATAAAATTGTCGATGAAAATAAAATTATGAGAGACGATGCAACTAAGATTTCTCTGTATCTCACCTTGCTCTTTGTTCGCGCCCCCCCTCCTTGCCGGGTTATTAAAGTTCATCAAACGTTACTATTAAATGGACGAATTTTTTATTTAAGCAAATTCAGGTATGAGCTACAGATCTCTTTCAACTCTGAGATAAAAATATACATATAAACCAAACAATATATAAAATCTTCTGAGAAGCAAGAAGTCGCCGCCTAAAATCGCACCTTTGATCGTCTCCGAACCGCGATAAACTTATTGAAATTATCTCATAGCAAGCATCTAAGGCCACTATGAGATCTTGAAATTCTCTAAATCGCTCTCTTCCGTAATGTTTTTCAGAAAAGGAAGCTTTTTTTTTATCCCTGGGTTTGATTTATCTCTCTCACGAGATGCGAACTCGACCGTATCACGATTGAAATGAGGCACATAAACAGTTTTACCCATGAACCTTTGTGGGTCGTGACGCACACCGCCTGTTACAAAACAGTGGACTATTAATTAAAAATTGTGATAGAAACAACAGCAGCTTCCGTTTCGTCATGACGGATTTGCTATTTTGCTAGTTTTTGCATTCTTATGAAGAGTAACAACTTCAAAGTTGTTAAAAAGTAAAGTTCAGTGTACTTATATGACACATATGACATAAACAGCTTTATTTGAATAACGTACGTGTAACCTGCATATTCTTTTAATGTCTATAAGGGTCGTCCTACAAACGTTTTAAAGCATGTTTACATAGAAAGCCTCCTCAGCGACCTGGAAAACAGCCAGTATTGAAAAGCGGAAACAGGGTCAGATTGAAAGCTAACGCGTGAGTCGTCGTCCGCTAAAACATCCTTTTGAACTACGACAATCGTAACTGCATACAAGAGTTCGCTTCAACCGTTTCGTTGCAAGTTTTTTCACTGTCTTAAAGGGCCCTGATCACTACATTGAAGAGACTAGCGTGTTGTTGAAATGGAAACGAAGAAGCTTCCGATCAACAACCCTATAGTATTTTCGTCGATAGTTTTCTCTTTTGCTCTCTGTTTCGTGGCATTGATCCACGTCGAGATCGAGCTTCACGCTCATCGAAAAATGCTTCAAGGCTTGACTCAACAGACAGAAGAAAACATCCACTCACGAGGCACTGTGAACAATAAACTGATTGCTTCCGCGCTGCGCAGTGACACTGGTAAAGGTGAGTGCTTTGTTTTACTTGTTAGCTGATTCTCGCGGGCTTGAAGTTCTAACTGTTGCATTCCGCAACAACGCCCTCAATAGTTGGATCCAGTAACTAAGCCTTTATTTTTTTACTCTCAAAAGAACTAAGAAATTTAATTAGTTCTTTAACCGTTTAATACTGATCAGAAACGTCATTGTGGCGTATCGGTCTCAGCTGTTTTGGGACATGTTGAGAAGATTTCCCTTTCTCTTCTGAAGGGCTGAAACCTAACCTGACAAAGCGTAAATGTTGTTATTCAATTTTAGCATTCCTCGGATAGAAGTTTCTTTTCTTATCTTTTTAGTGCATGAAAATATATGGCATGCAGTACAGTAGATAAAGTTTGTCTTTAGCCAGTATCAATAAGCCGGTATTGCGCTACTGCATAACTTAGTCTGTAAGATAGAAGGGGCAATTAAATCGACCAAAACATTCTTTCGCTGAACGAACATGAAAGTGACATAAATTGTTTCTCAGTTGCAGAAATACACATTCGTCACAAACGCAACTCGAAAATAAACGAGGAAACAAACGTCAGCGAAATAATCAGTCGGGGTGACATTAAAAGAGAGGTTAAACTAGCGATGAGCAACCTGGCCTGCATGGCGCATTGCCCGAGGGGTATCAGGGGAAGACGAGGAAGGCCTGGTCCCCCCGGCAAACATGGACCAATCGGGCCTCAGGGACCACAAGGACCACAAGGACCAAGTGGACCTCAAGGAGATCACGGGCCTCCTGGACCTAGAGGCGATCAAGGTCCTCAAGGGTCTAGGGGCGATCCTGGTGAATCCATCTCAGCTCCTTCTATTGTGTCACCTCCGTCTTCCATGGTGGTAAACGA